TGAAGCGGCAAACACAATAGAGGATGATGAAGAAAAAGCAAAGAAGAAGTGTTTCTTTGGGATGTGTCTTAATCCCCTGTCTCGTTACAAACTCAGCAAGAGGGCGGAAGAGGATTCCCAGAAGATTGCTAAGCATGTGCAAAAAGTTCCTGGATTCAATCTTCGAACTTCCTACCCTGTTATTCCACAGCGGGTAGTGGCTGCACCTGTCAAGGATTTTCAGGAGTTTGAGTCAAGAATGGGTGTATTGGATGACATGATGAAGGCATTACAGAGTCCAAACATCAACATAATAGGACTGCATGGGATGCCAGGTGTAGGCAAGACGATGCTGCTCAAAGAAGTTAAAAGAAAAGCTGAGCAAGAGAAGTTGTTTAATGCAGTAGTTATGGTTTCTGTAGCAAAGAAGAATCCAGACTACAGAATAATTCAAGATGGCTTAGCATATGGCTTGGGTGTAGTAGAGCTTTCTTTTGGGATTGGAGATCCGAGGGTTGCCGATCCGCGTGTTGCCGATCGGCTTAGAGCAAAAATTTTGGAAGAGAGGAAGGTTCTCGTGATTTTGGATGATATTTGGGACAAACTAGATTTGAAGGAACTTGGTATTCCCTTCGAAGACCAGCAGAGAATGAATGCTGAAACTGGTTCATCATCCACAAAAGATCAACAAATGAAATGCAAGATCTTATTGTCATCTAGAGAGCTTAATGTCCTGTCAATTGAAATGGGCACTCAAAAGGAGATTGTAATTAATCAATTGGAAGATCAAGAAGCGTGGCAAATGTTCAAGAAGATAGTTGGTGATAGGGCTGAAAGTAGCGAGTTGCAGCCTACAGGCTTTGGGATTGCTACAGAATGTAAGGGATTACCCCTTGCTATTACAACACTTGCAAAAGCTTTGAAAAATAAGAGTTTGCATGAATGGAAGAGTGCTCTACAAAGAATGAAAAGTCCCTCTCCAAGCAACTTCGAGGGGATACATGCAAAAGTTTATACTGCTATCGAGGTGAGTTACAATCACTTAGGAAGTGGGGAGCTCAAGCGAACCTTCTTACTTTCTAGTTTGATTTGTCGCAACGCTTCAATTCAAGACTTGTTGAAGTATGGTGTAGGACTAGGCTGGTTCCCACAAGCTAATACAATAGACGGAGCTCGGAATGATTTATTAACATTGATAAGCAATCTGAAAGCTTCTTCTTTGTTGATTGATGGTTCTCACGGTGGATTCTTTGATGTTCATGACGTTATTCGTGCTGTAGCTCTATCAATAGCCTGCAGGGATGGCTATGGATTGTTCTTAACAGATGACGATTTACCAAAGAAGTGTTCAGATGAGAAGGCATTGAACGATTTCAAATGGATATGTCTAGAATATACTAATATGAATGAGCTTCCAAATGAGTTAGAAAGTCCTCAGCTTACTTTCTTTTGTTTGTCTAACAAATATCCCTCTCTGGAAATTCCAGCAAACTTCTTCAAGGGAATGCAAAGACTCAGGGTATTGGACTTGACTCATTTGCAAATGTCATCCCTACCTTCATCAATTTCCCTCCTAGAGAACCTCCACACATTATGCTTGGATCAAGGCGTATTAGGAGACATAAGCATTATTGGAGAGCTGAAGAATTTAGAAGTTCTAAGCCTTGTGAGGTCTGATATTAAAATGCTACCAAGGGAAATTGGACAGTTGACTCGGTTAAAGTTGTTAGATTTGAGTGGCTGCAAAAAACTTAGAGTTATCCTGCCGCGTGTCTTGGCGAGTATGTCCAGATTAGAAGAACTGTACCTGGGAAACAGCTTCAACAGATGGGAGCATGATGAGCATGAAAGTCAACGAAATGCTAGCCTTGCTGAGTTGAAGCAATTGAAGAAATTGACTGCTTTGGAGATACGTATTCCTGATGTTAAGATGATCCCAGAAGACTTGTCTTTTGAAAAGCTTGAAAGATGCAAGATATTCATTGGAGATGCTTGGAACAAATGGGATAGTTCTGCTGAAATCTCAAGAATATTGAAGCTGCGGCTGAGGGCATCCATAAGTTTTGATTCTTCGCTTAAACAGTTGTTGAAGATGTCTGAAGAGCTACATCTAGAGGAGTTGAAGGGTGTCAAACACATACTCTATGGGTTAGCTAGTGAAGGTTTTCAAAAACTGAAGTATCTTCATATTCGCAATGCTTCAGATATTCAAGGCATCATCATGGACTCAGCGGGGCTTTGCAATGCATTTCCAACTTTGTAAGTGTTATATATTTGCAGTTTGGTTAATTTGGAGAAGATATGTTCTGACCAGCTCAGAACATCTTTTTGCAGGTTAAAAGTAATAAATGTTGAATGTTGTAATCAGCTGAAGATGTTGTTCTCATTCTCAACAGCTAGACAGCTTTTCCAACTCCAAGAAATTGGAGTAACAGATTGTAGAAACATGGTAAATATTGTTGATGAAGAAGGGAAAGAGGATTTTGGGGATATTGTTGAAGCAACTGATCAAATGGTTAAGCTTGCCCATTTGCTGTCCTTGAGACTACAAAATCTACCGAAGTTCATTAGCTTCTGCCATGAATATGATACAAGCTCGAGTCATGTTCCACTTTTCAGTGAGAAGGTACTTAATTTATTCTTTCCCTTTTTTTTCCCCTATTAAAGACATGCTATCTTTTATTCAAAATAAGAGTAGGAAACATAGTGAAACTTGTTTAAATTCCGTATTGACAACAACCATAAAATTACTAGTTTTCTCTTAAGTCATACCGGATTCATTAAAAAATTTTAACTTCATTGTAAAACTAATTAAAAAGCAAATGCTAATAATAAGAGATTAAGTGTTTGTTTGGAATAGAAGATTGGATTGGATTGGATTGGATAAAATTTAAGGATAAGATTGGAGTAGATTAAATATGATATTATATATTAAAGTCCTAGGTAATGTTTGGTTGATTATTGGATTAAAGTAAGATTAGACAAAAAAATTTATTTATATAGACAAAATTACCCTTACATTATAATGAAATCTAATAAATTTTTATTTTATTTATTTACCATTAATCATAATAACATTTAATAGTGAAATTAATTGAGATAATTATAAGATAAAAAAATTGAGATAATTATCATTAGTCATTTTTATCAAAAACAATTATAATAATTATTAATTAATTACTCATTTTTTTTATAAGTTAATTAATTACACATTAACTACAACAAAAATGTAATTAACTGTAATAAAAAATTTTCACTGTTTTCCTGCAACCCAATCAGTCCGGCCACAAAACTGATAATAAAAAAAAGTTGAAGTTCAAGGTAAGTCAATAGTTGACGCTCATGTCTTGTGCCTTGGGGAACGTGCAAAGCTGGAAAAAGCCAGGCTCCAGCCATGGTCTTCCATTCATGGGGCTG